CACGTGGTTTTTATAAGACAATGATATTTTTAAGTGATTTAGTCTTTACTCCTCAATAGGATATTAACAGTGGTGAAGGAGAAACTTCAACAGTACTGTGCAACAATATATTCGAGAAGTGGTGTAAATCAGATGTGGATACTTAAAAATTCCAAGGAACTTTTGGAAAATTTGAAATCACAAGATTTTACCAAAATCAACAGCTTAAAAACTTACGACTTTTCAACTTTATACACAACCATTCCCCACGATAAATTAAAGTCCAGGCTTTTTGATATCATCGACAGCTGCTTTTTCAATAAAAATGGAACTCGTAAATATACTTACCTTGTCATTGGTCATTTGCAAAATTATTTTGTTAAAAAACATTCTGATTGTATACACAAGTACTCTGAAGTTGACATTAAAAAGATGCTTGAGTTTCTGATTGAAAACGTCTATGTGGTTTTTGGAGACCAGGTCTTCCAACAATCTATTGGAATTCCCATTGGTATCAATTGAGCCCCGTTATTAGCAGACCTTTTTTTGTATTCATATGAAGCAGAATTTTTCCAAAATCTTGTACGTGAAAAGAAGAAAACACCTGCTGTGGCCTTCAACTCGACATTTAGATATATCGTCGATGTATTGTCAATTAACAATGGTTATTTCCATTCTTATGTCGATACGATATATCCTGGTGAACTTGAGATAAAAGATACCACAGAGTCTGACACATATGTTTCATATTTGGATTTTTTACATGAAAAAGACGTTAATGATAATCTAACAACCAAGCTTTATGATAAACGTGATGAACTTTTACTTTTCAATCGTCAACTTCCCTTACTTATGCAGCAATATACCTTCATCACCTGCAAACGGGGTATATATCTCTCAGTTGATTCGATACGCAAGAGTATACTCTACGTATGTACAATTTCTAAAACGAGGTGAATTATTGACAAATAAGTTGATGAAACAAGAATATCAGCTGTCTCGTTTAAAGTCATCATTTCGTAAGTTCTATGGTCGATACAATGACCTTGTCAGCAAATACAATTTATCATTGAGTCAAATGCTGACTGACGTTTTTCATACTAATTGTTAGGCCATTATTTACACACTGTATTGTCGACGGATTTTTCCGTTATTTCCCGATAATGACAAGGAGCACACGGCGGGTGTTACCGGTCAGCAGGGGATGCTCACTCCTCCATGGCACCTGATCCCACCTCTGATGTTTGGATGTCCGTGTTTGCTCTGCTCCTATTTTGTATTGTTTAATGGACTTTTGAGCTTGAATACTGTTCGTTATCTCCACATATTTCATGAATATTTCATTAAACTAAGTAAAGCAAAAAAAATGTATATCGTCATTTCATGTATATTTATTTATTTATTCTTTGTAATACGGACATCATACTACGCACTCGTTACATGAAAACGACATTTTACAGCGTCGTACATAGCATTGACTATTCCAAACATGATCATTGAATGCAGTTCTGTAAGCATTTGTCCAATAATAGTTGTCATATTGACATTGAGGCTGTTTCTGCTTTTTCATATTTCGTTTAACTTTGACACTGACTCAAAATAAAAATTAAATTATTGTTTCGTCTTGTAATCAATTACTACTTTTCACGGACACTGCGTCTCTAAATTATCGTAAGACAGTCGATAATAATTATTTTAATAGCATATAGCGAAAATATGATTAATTATAAATCAATTATCACCTTGCAGCATAAGTGTCACCTGAATAAACATCCCGTTCCTCGAGACCCGCGTCTTCTACCTGGGGCCATTTAAATGTCCAAGTAAAGGTGTTTATTATGTAACCTGGTGTACACATAGCCACTTCGAGGTATCGAGGGTAAATTCTAATAGAATATGCGTAGCGGGACTGCATTTTGACTTCGAGGGATCAAGGGTTTCGAGAGATCAAGAGTTCGAGATATCAAGAGTAAATTTGCTTAGTTATATAGGAGAAAAATTCGGGACCGGAGACTCACTTCGAGCGATCAAGAACTTCGTGAGATCAAAGTTCGAGCCATCAAGAGTTACCTGTATTGCAATAGCATTTCACACGAAAATATAATTAAAAACTTATTTTATCTGGAAATTATTGGAACTACGAATTCCTGGACGCGTTTGATTTACACATCCTTGCACTTTCACAAATTTTATCTTTATCCCTAACATTCAAGAAAAGAAGCGATTTTGTTGTGTATTAATGAAAAACATTACATCTATAATCCAGAAAATTCAGAGTAGAAATGTGCGAAAGCAAACCCCCTCACTAATATCGTCAGCCCGTGCTCAGTGTTGTGTACAGAGTTTAACAAATTGAATACACCCGTGAAACGTAAACTGTTTTTGTAAACAGGGCACGAGCTCTGTTATTGTTAATGTTTACGATTCACCGGGTGTGTTCAATTGTTAAAGTCTGCACACACCACTGAGCACGGACTGACAATACTGTGAGTGGGTTTTGCTTTCGAACATTTCTACTATGAATTTTCTGGATTATAGTTTTAATATTTTTCATTAATACACAACAAAATTGCCACTTTTCTTAAGTATTAAGAATAAAACTAAATATTGTGAAAGTGCAAGGATGTGTCAATCAAACGCATTCAGAAATTTGAAGTTTCAATAACTACGAGATGAAATAAGATTTTTATTATATTTTAGTATGAAATGCTATAGAAACATATAAGTCATGAAATTTTACAGAAAATTTGAAAAAATATTAACTTCAAATCTGTGTCCAAGCACCTTTAAAAGGACTATATTTATAATTGTCAATGCCTGCCACCTAATACAAACTTTGATGGGGGGAAATCTTAAATTATGTTCTTATATGCATACATGAAGACTTCAAAGCATTAAACATATTTATGCATAAAATAAATATGACGTCAAAAAATGAAATAAATTTAATATTTGAATGATTTTTAAAGAAAATAGTGTATATTGCGTCGATAATTTGATTGGAAAATATTGAGCGCAGGTCTTTTAATAAAATGTATAGAATGATGATATCAATGGAGTGTGTGAAAATAGTTCCTGAGCAAGCACCTACAAAACACAACCAATCAATTTAAAACGGATGATCTGCAATTTGATTGCGTCAAATGTACGAGTTATGCGAACAAGACTTTCGCAGAAAAAACATTGTTTTTCGACCCACAAATAGCCCCTAGGATAAAAATGAAGATTCCAAAACTTTATTGCATATCTAAAGGAACCACCAGCCATATTCCAGAACTTAATTTGAATATTGTTTAAAATGCACGAGAAGTTCGAGGAAGAATAGTGTGACAGAGGGTAGGACGTACGGAGGCGGACCAGAGAACAACAATATATCTGTACTTTCTTTAGAAAGTGTGGGTATAATAAACAGATTCGCATCAAACAACGCCTTCTTTAATCAATACATTTATATGTAATCAATACATTATTATATAACTAAAATTCAAACTAATACATTTGTCAATTTTAGATCCTTCTTTGTGGAATTTCTTCATAGTTGATTTCATTTTTTTGGTATCCCCCTCTCTCTGTGCACTAGTAATGTAAAGTGCTAAGGAACTAAGGATAATATTTTCAAGAAAAAATCATGGGAGGGGAGGCAGAGGCGATGGAAATGGTTAAATTGTATAAAAATGAATTCAATATTTTGAACTTCCTATTAAGCGTTCATAAACATGGTATATAAAATTGTGCTTAACTATAATTTTAGGTAAGAAATACCTTTGGCAAAAGAAAAAAATTATTTGATGATTAAATAATTGTAAATGCATTTATCTACCGGTTTGTGCTGGCATTGATCCCATTCATGTAAGATAAAATTCCCAACTGTCAGTTTTCAATGTTCAGACAAACACTTCAATCACCGAGCTACGCAACTAATTAAAATTTATTGGCATTTAAATCTGCTTGTAATACGACCCTCAAATAAGTGGACTTCAATAAAATTTACGAAACTTACGAATTTTACGGCATAAATTGTTCTTAAAATGTATTGTTCGCCCTAGTTCCATGTTTAATTCTAACCGAGAATTTTAAAAAATAACGCGTTCAGTAAAATGGTCCCACTTATAGAGGATAATTATTTGTTTTCGGAAATGATCAATTTTGTCTTCCTTTTATATGATACCTTTAATGCTAATTACATTTAGAATATTGTTTGGAGCGTGCAGAGAGCATATACATGTACTGATGTTAACTGAACTATCACAGAAAATTCCGTAATGATCGAGTGGTATTTTTTTTCTGTTTCTTTATGACCAACAAAGGTATTTTTTATCGGCTCTTTCGCCCATGTTCTAAAAAATATTGTTTTACAAAAGATTCACCCCTAAAAATGTATGATGGATACTTTCTATCAAAAATCTCTTTTCATTTCCACTCAAAATGACAATGATAACAAAACGTTTTTATTTCAGAAAGATTCCTTTTACAACAAAACTCCATAAAGAACCATGTCAAGGTCGTCAAAGTGGCGGATCATATTCCACATTTTTTCCCAAAACAGATCGAAATACAAATGTACTTCTTAACAAATACATATATCTGACATTGTATGCCTATATTACAATGCTTTCAAAGCTAGCGCGTGGTCCATATTTATACGATTGTACAATTCAAACAGAGAAACAACAACACAATCATTATTGTTTATCACATAAAAATGTTTTTTAAGGAACATATATACATAGTAAGCAAGCGAGGTTTAAGTTACACAGTACTTTGTTCTCTGCCCTTGTATTGAACTGGATTACTGAAAAGGATTGCGTGTGCCAGTTAATGCATTGTCATGTGTCGGTAACTAAACATCTTAATTGGGATTTAAAGAACATTAAACCATTAATATCAATAGAGAAATAACAGTTTTTTAGCCTACAATTTTAATTCATAATTATACGAAATAATTGGGTTTTTTTCGCTTTCAAAGAAAGAAAAAGAAAAGAGACAGCTATTCCATAATGAGAACCTTATTCCTGTATCTCTGTTAATTACCCTTTGTAGAGTAATACACGTTTACTCCCGGGACAAACACTTTTTTGTTTTCTCCCGATGCAGTTTCATCCATTGCCTCAGTTTCTTGTGTATCAGTATTGGTAGTTTCTTTCTTTTCTTTTAGAATTGACTTCGCTAATTTTTTCACATCCATAGTTCTAAAAGACTCCAATATTTCTTCGCTTTTCTTAACCTTTTTGGGCTGGTCTTCAAAAGAAACAGATACCTCTCTTCTAGGCTTGCTTCCTTGGGTAAATGTCATTACTTCTGATGTCTCAGGGCGAGTCAGCATCCAACTTGGCCTCGGTTTGGATGCCATATGGCGGGAAAATACGAAGTCATCGTCTGATTCTCTAGAAGAAAGCCGAGAGGAGCTGCTATATTTGGAAAGACGACTTTTACTTGTTGCATTTTCAAGAGGATACTTTTCCAAGTCTTTCAAATGAGCGGGTTTCAATGTTTCTGTAAGGTGTTTGAATCTTTCATCAGTTTTAGTAGCACCAGCATTCAGGTATTTCTTTCCACGATACATGTCGTAGTGTTGTAGTGCGTCCTGATCGACCTCAACCATTTCTGGCAATTTTGTCATGTATGTCTTGTCATTGTACGTGGCAATCTCGGTTTGCTCACGTCGGATACTATATGGCATCTTTGGAAATTTGGATTTTTCTTTTTCTCTCGATTTGCCGCGTGTCGGTCTCGCTCTCGCCGAGTATTCAGGCATATGGTACATCACATCGAGGCAAGGAGTTAAATTTTCTGATCCTTGAAGACTCGGAAGATTCATACTCGATAACCTTAATTCGTCTTCCCTTTTCCACTTCTTCTGCTTTCTTTCTTGCATGGCCATGAAAGTCCTTGCGGTGAGATCAAAGGAATTTGCATGTTTGAGCTGCCGTGCTGACAAACTTGATAACGTTCTTTGTAAATGTCTGTCCTGGCTTCTGTTCTCCAAGAGGATTGCCTGGTATAAGTTAGTTTTGGGAATGACATTGCGGACGCACAGAAATTGTTTAATTTTTATATTCTTCGCGTCTTTGCCTTGTGTGAAAGCCAATGTTTCGGGAGAAATCTCCAATTCCTGTATCGGAACAGGTTTCTGCTGTTCGGGTTTGGAAGGCATTACTGATGCCATACCTATGAAATCTACGAAATTCTTACCACTTTTCACCACTCCAGTTCGAAACACTTCATTATTATAAAAGTTCACAAGTAATTTAATACCATATCCAGAAGAGAACAGTCACCGCTTTTAAACAGTTACGTATGTTTTGTCTGATTGCCTTGGCTTGATAAAATTTTCCGTCTTTTGTTTTCATCCAATAAAAATCAGAAATCCTTTTGACACAGTTGTCAAAAAGGTGTCGAACATCATAATGCGTTTGTTTCAACATGCATCGCTAAAGTTTTTAATAACATCTTATTCGACTTAATTGTGCAGAAGGAATAATTGTCCGCCGCTAATCTGTTGGGGTTTTGTTTTAGTGCGTATGGAGTTTTGGCACCTGTGTATTAGATCTGTCTTCGATATATTAATCCATGATCGTTCGTTTCCAACAATCACAAAAACCGTCAAGACTGCTAAAATATTTTTTGCCTGCAGGTCCTTGATCCATAAGGTCAAAAGCAAGGAAAAAGACTAAAACCTTGAAAAATAGAGAAATTTTATCAGCTGGTATGTTGAGGATTTACAAACAGATTTAATCGGGATTTTCTAAAACAATTACTTTGAAAGACGTGCCTATCATTTAATCTTCTGTAAATGTAGTTAAAGCTCGTTTAGATATATAATCAGCAGTAATCGATTAATCTGTAAAATATCAATAAGCGTAATAGAACGATGTGATGTAAGAACACAGTTGAGATTGTAGGTACAGTTCATAGTTAGTTGTCTGGCGCTCTTTACTAGAATAGAAATATCATTGTTATGACAAACATATCAATTTTAGACCTTTTTATATCTAAATCTTTCTTGTCTTGAGTGAGGGGATGATTTTTAAAATTATTTTCTGTTTGAAATCCAATTAGATGAAAAATAAATCATAATTTTGAACTTACAGACCGTATTCAAACGATTAAAAATTTCCATCAGATTTTAAAATTCATTTATATTTATTGATCAATTGACTAACATTTGCAACATATCTCTAGCATTAATCTACGTCTTCTAGATAAGTAAAGTATGGTTATTTTCAAAGTTATCATTAAATGGCTGGAAAATCTCTTTTTTAAATGGTCTTTTCAGAAATTAACCCTCTATCAAAGAACAGATCTCTAGAAACAAACGGGAAATGAATGTTTCGGTTCCCATTATACTTTCCCTGTTAAGATCCAATTATTACACAAGTACTGATAGAGTTCGGTTCATCTAGGTCACTAACTATCCATTTTTCATGTTACAAAATAAATGACAGATTTGTGGAATTCTTAAGCCTTTGGAAATGGATTTATCAATAATGGACTTTTTTATTGAACCCGAAAACAATAGCAGTAATCAAAGAGCCAAGAACAAGAAAATCCTTATCACACCGGGATATAAAAGCGTAATGCATAAATAAACGTTTGAACCAGAATGTAAATCTTAAGTAACCCCCTCCCCACCCACCCCCTCCCCAGATGAATTGGTTTTAATAATAATATTATAATAAAATAATTTCTATAGCGCCCTATATAATAAAATTATCACATTATCACCTTAAGGCTTTACATAGAATGGACATAAAACATAGCATAGATATCTTAAAAAATAAAATTAGCCTAATATTGAATTTTTTTTTTTTACAACAAAAAAATATGGTTGATTTTTGATGCAGATCTCCTTCATAGCCGGTAATATAATAAGCTTTCATTAACTTCAATAACATTTATGGGGACTATAGAATGGTAATAAAATTTTTATATTTTTGAAGAATATTGTAAATAACAATCTAAGATACTGTCTGGAGGATCATCTTGACATTAAAATAAAATTATGGGTAATAAGGCATTTAAGAAAGAAATAACAAATGTTGCAATTTTTCATCATGAATTATATTGGTAGATAGAGAGGGTGTCTGATATGGATAAAAATGACTTAGTGGATATAAACCAGTGAAAAGTACATGTTGATGTTGAGCAGCATTTCAACAAACTTAGGAGACCCAAAAAGAAATATTTCCAAACATTCGATCACATGAATCAAATTACGTAACAAGACAATCACAAAATTATTGCATCCCTAAGTGTAGATTAAATATTTATAAATCATCTTTTGTCCCAATGGCAATAAGGGAATGGAACTCTTTACCTCTTGAAACAAGACAATCCACTACTATAGGTTCCTTCAAAAATTGTATAAACTCTCAAAAAACACCTACTCCTGCATTTTTTTCTTTTGGTGATCGTTACTGGAATGTAATTCATACTAGATTAAGACACAATTGCGTTCTGAATAAAGATTTATTTAGGTGCAACATCATTGACAGTCCATTATGCACTTGTGGAAAAATAGAAGACGCATATCATTACTTTTTTTCTTGTACGAAATACACTGTCCCAAGAAACGATTTGTTTAATGCTATTTTTAGAATGATGAATTTACGTATTGTAGACACTCACGTACTGTTATGGGGAGATGATTCGATTAGCATTTCTGAAAATGAAAGTATTTTTAAATGTGCAATTGTTTATTAAGAGATCTGGTCGTTTTTGAATTTATATATTTAATTCATTTGTACATACTACCTCAAGTCAATTTTGTACATGCACAACCTATGTAAGATAATCGTATTGACCTTTGGTTCCAGTGTAGTTTAATTTTTAACATTATTTTGTGTAATGAATTGTTATAAAGGAGAGGACGTTCTAAGTTTTAAGAACTTGTGTCCGATCCTTTTGTTGTAATATCTAAACAATAAAATATGTTCAAACCAAACCCAAATACATTCAATAAGCACATGTTGTTTTCCTTTTTACAAATGCGATTGTAGCATTTGACAAAGAAAATGTCAATATGAATCTTATTTGTTTCCCTTCGAGAATTTTTCACTCATGTTGAGACGTCACCACTTGGTGGTGTAGGGCTGCAAATTTAGAGACCTGAACTCGGCACTTAGGGCCACTGAGCAGTAAGGGATCTTTTTCATGCCAGCACCTACTGCGACACGGGAATTCGGTTTATAGGTCTCAACCGAAGGACCGGTCTCCAGTCCAGCAGTGATTCGAATCCGCGACGTAAGGATCAAATCCATACTCCGCGACTCATAAAAATTGGAATTTTACTTTTGTCCTTTATGTCATTATGAAATATCACTACATTCGTTTCTATTGAAAAATAAAATAGAAACAATTTTAATCTTGTACAATTTCTTATATAAAATGATAAATTACTTTCAAATCACTTAGTCAGAAAGAAAAGGTTTACAAAAAGGACATGCTTTTTAGGGTTCAAGCGGTCTTCCTCCAGTATGCCCAACCATCTCATCTTAACACAATTTGTTAATTTTTTACTGAAATGTCCAATAACCCCTACTTAATTTTATGTGAAAATGTTCCCCCAGACAAAAACATATACATGTACATGTATTGTTGAATTATTTCTTTTTGGTATGACACGTAGTAAGGATTTTTTTCAATAAATATTGGTAAAAATTTAAAATAATCAGAGGAATCGTAAATTTTATATTATTCTTTATAGTAATCTTTATATTTCTTCTCTCATTAGAGTGAAAGGTCGTTACTATGGTATTTTCTCACTTTGGTTAAAACGATTGTCCGGGAGGAGGAATCCTTGCAGCTTTGTACAAATTAAAAAGCTAAGAAAAATATACCCTAAAACATGCATACATTGACATGGCCATAATGATGTCTTCTGGAAGCTGGTTCCATATCCGGATGGTGGTAAGAAAGAACTATTCCTTGAAGAGAATGGGACCCTGTACCAGTGTTTGTGTCCCCTTGTGGCTGCTCATGTGTGGCTGAATTGAGAGGAAGTTTGATAGCAACTAGGGAATGTGGACAACCCAGTACATCATGATAGCCTTTGCTCTGATTCCTCTTTGGTGTAAGCTCTCCCACTCTAGCCTGTCCATAATCGCTGTGACACTTTTGGTGGTATTGTTGTTGTTTGTCTCGAACCCATCTACTCTCCGTTGCATCGCTTCTATTCTATCGATGTTTTTCTTAGTTTGGAGGTCCCAGACAGTGGATGCATATTTCACCTGGGGTATGACCGATGTTTTGCAGCATTTGTCCTTGAAGTTGGTTGGACAAAATGAGAGGTTCGTCCATAAGAAGGCAGTGGTGATGTTTGCTTTATTACAAACACTATCGATGTGATGGTTCCACGATAGATTATTTGATATGTTGACCCAGAGTACTTGGCTTTGGTGGTAACAGTCAGCTCCTTCCCATGGATCCTTCCCATGTTTCCGGTTGGTGGAGATACGGATAACCTCGAACTTGTCTGGATTAAACTGCATTAGCCAGTCTGCTTTCTGACACGAGGTTTTCTAGGTCCATTTGGAGCTTTCTGGTATCGGCCTCTTTAGTAATGGTCCTGTACAGGAGACAGTCGTCCACAAATAATCTGGAAATGGAGCTTCTTGCATTGGGACACTCCAGATGTAATAGGTGAGGTTCTTGAGAAATGGCCCTCTACCAGTTGTCTTTGCGTTAGGCCAGACGGAAAACTCCGGATCTCGTTAGTAGACAACCTTGACACCATAATGAACTAACTTCTCATATCGGAACTTGACGAATGCTTTTAAAAAATCTAGGAGCAATGCATCGATCTGAGTATTTTGTATTTCGATGCCTATGGCGAGGTCCAGATTTTTGTTATCAGTTGGGATTCACAGGATTGCTTCTTCCTAAGCCCATGCTGGTATTCGGTGAGGATGTTGTGCTGTTCAAAGAAGTTAATAAGGTAGCTGTGGATGATGTGCTTCACTACTTACAACAAACAGAGGTCAAGGACATAGGTCGTATATTGGCAGAATTGCTCTTGTGACCTTTCTTGAATATCGGTGAGACATTTGACGACTTCCAGTCCTCTGGTGTTTGATCTTGGTCGGTGGATGCCTGGAAGATATTGGTAAGTACTAGAGTAACTGAATGAGCCATCTCTATCAGGAATTTGGCCTGGTGGAGATCTCATCTGGACCAGTCGCCTTATTAGGGTTGATGCCTAACCGGAGCTTCAGTACACGGTGACTCTGATGACTGGCGCCGATGGAATTGTACTGATGCGTAGGTATGAAATGTCAAATGTATACTCTGTAGTAAACAGTGATGATTGTTGATTCAGGAGAGAAGCTTTAATTTGTGGGTCTCCATGTAGGTTCCCGTCAGAGCGGAGTAGAACAATCTCAATACTGTTGCGCACTTCTTACTCTTTATGAAGGAGTAGAGTTCCTTGCTGTAAGAGTCCTCCTGGACCATGTCCGATACATATGAATTGTAGACATTTTTACATTCCTACTGAGTTGACTGC